CCAGATTTTCTTATATATTTCACAATAGGGGGTTTGTGATCGATGTGTGGAATTTTGAAGGTTTTCATTATAAGAAAGAAATCGAGTCTTATGAATTTTGAAGTATTTTTTTGGCAGATGGAAGAAAATAAATATATTTTGATCTAATTGCTTCCAATTACTATATGACATTAGTCTAAGCTTTCTTATTTTGATGTTTGAATATATGGTCGAGTGCATTTATTTCTATTCAAAAGTCGTGCATTTTATATCTATGTTGCGTACACAAAAATATGGCTCGTGAGAGTTGTGATATTTTTTTCTTTTTCTTTTATTTTTATTTTTATTTTTTGAACAGTAAAATACTCATAAGTTCATCAAATTTTTCAAGTGTCTAGTCATTTGTATGCATTAGCAGTATCTTAATTTGTCCGAGTAGAAAATAAAAAAAAGAGCATATTTTTCTGAACATCCAGTATTTTTAACTCTACTAGTTACTTCAAAGTGAGAAATCTTGATCTTTGAAACTTTGAAATCATAGATGAGTAATGCTATTTATCATCATCATGATGGAACATCGATAATGTGACAACACATTATCCATAACATTTCTCTCTCTCCTCCCCCTCTCTCGTAAAAAGTGAATTGTCTAATCTCATTATTTCACATAAACTGTCACGTCGACGATATTTTATCATCATAATGATAAATAGCATTATTCATCATAGACCGATAATCTCAAGGATTAGTATCACATATTACAGTAAATTTAAGATTTGGATAGAGTCCATCCTGGTGAAGGTGCCCATGTATACATCTCAGAGGGTATAGTACCATTTGTTAGCAAATTTTGTTGCACCCCATATATTTCTGAGAAATCAATCCGGTGGAGCCGCCGATTGTTTTGGTAGTGCTGGTTATGATTGGCAGCGGCCGCAGCGGCAACAATCTCGTCATCCTCTAATGGCAAGTGATCAAAGAGTATTGTTATTTAGCCCCACTAGAGTTACAACCCCAATAGTCTAGGTGGTACAAATGTGGCATTAAGAGCATGTCTGGCAGCCATTATTATCAGATTTTAACTCAAAAAGTTACCGTTGCAGTCAACTGGTGGGTCCCCCCTCTCTCCCAANTAAAAATTAAGAGCATCTTAGGCAGTCATTATTATCAAATTTTAACTCAATAAGTTACCATTGCAGTCAATTGGGGGGGCCCCCCTCTCTCCCAAGCAGTCAAAAATGGCTACTCAACTGGTACATAACGGTCGAAATTTTTATTTTAAGTTGGTGAATAATGGCTGCCAGACATGCTCTAAATGATAGGTAAAATTAAAAAAATAATTCAAAATTTCACATTTTATTTAACCTATCATTTAGAGCCACTTAGTTAGGGGTTACAACCTCAGTGGGACTACATAGCATTACTCGTATCAAAAGTTATAACTATAATAACTACAGGTCCTGAAGCAATGAGTGCACCAACCACACTCCCTCCTACAACCTGCCCTTGAGTCCCAGCAAGGTACACTGTAAGGCCGGCCGCCACTCCCGACACTGCTGGTGGTGGCAGAATTGATCCAAGTAACGAGAAAATATCGAAACGGCCATGGAGAGTGATGACTGATCCCGATGAAGCTGGTCAACGGATGGGGACATTGGTGGCACAACCTGTTGCATTGAGTACGAATAGGCCTCGCTGTTTCCGCCGAGAAAAGTTAATTAAGGTTTCGTTAATATCGTAGCCGGACTTTACTTCTATTGCATGTGCTCTCATTGCATTAGCACTTACCCTAGTGATGATAATTGGCTGCTTGGGTTTATTCTTGGAGCCAGCTGGCCTTCCGCGAGGGTGGCGGAGGGTTTTACATGGTAAAATGTATATAAAAAGGT